CACGAGGACACCAATTTAACAACTAAACACAGAAAACATCTTCATAAGAACCAAAAATCAGGAGAGCACTCACAGTACCTGGTTTTAACTTCATTTGGCTGAAATGGGTACAAAGGGGTAGGAAAAAGTATTGAATCAGCAATGCCACCCTTTTCCATCCCGTGGCAGTGGCAGTGTGGTGTGAAGAGAGTTGCTATGTGCTGTGAAGAGGGAGAGTGGGAAATTATGAGTCATTGAACTGAGTGCTGCCTATCATAACAGAAAAGAAAACTGGAACAAATTCAGCTTAAGCTAACCCAAGGAAGGAGTTTTTAAACCAACCCTAGCCAGAGGGGAATTACCAAAGCCAGCAATCTGAACTTAAATTCTTGCAAGCCTGACCACCACTGGATAAAATGCTCTGGGGCTCAAAATAAACTTGAAGGGCAGTCAAAGCCACAAAGAATGCAACTCCTGGGAACTCCTAATGCTGTATTGGACCCAGAGACAGGGGAATGCAGGACCATGTGACCTCCTGAAACACCAGCTTGGGTGGCTAAAGGAGTGCTGGCATCATCTCTCCACTATCCAGGCTACACAGCTCAAAGCTCCAAAAGAAGCCCTTTTCCTCTGCTCAAGGAGAGGAGACTTTCTCTTGCATCTTGGATACCAGCTTAGCCATAGCAGGATAGGGCACTGTCAGAGTCTTGAGGACCCCTTTCTAGGCTCTAGCTCATGGATGACATTTCTAGACATACGCTGGACCAGAAGGTAACCCATTTCCTTGAAGGGAAGAACCCAGTCCTGGCAGAATTCATTACCTGCTAACTGAAGAGCTCTTGGGCCCTGAATAGCCAGCAGTGATACCCGAGTACTACATCAAGGGCATTGGGTGACACTCTGGGATGTGTTGGCTTCAGGTGAGACTCAGCACATTCCCAGCTGTGATGGTTATGGGTTAAGACTCCTTCTGCTTGAGAAAATAAGAGGGAAAAGTAAAGGAGACTTTATCTTGCACCTTAGGTACCAGCTCAGCCACAAGAGGGTAGAGCACCACTTAGGCCCTTGGGGTCTCCAATTCCAGGACTTGGTCCTTGGATGGCGTTTCCAGATCTGCCCTGGGCCAGATGGGAGCCCACTGCTCTGAAGGGACAGTCCCATGCCTGGCTGCATTCAGCACAAGCTGACTAAGGAGCCCTTGGGCCAAAAGAGAACGTTGGTGGCAATGTGGACATATACCTCATGGGCTTGTGGTGGTGGTAGTAATGGAGTGAGGCTTATTTGCCTTTAGTAAGAGGAGGTTCTACATTTTGTTTGAGTGGCAGCCCAGTTGAGCACAATAGAACACCAGGTAGACTTCTAAGATATTTGATTCTAGTCCCTGGCTCCTGTATGGCACCTCTGGACATGCCTAGGACCTGGGGGAACTCACTACCCTGAAAGGAAAGACACAGGCCTGGCTGGTTTTGCCACCTGCTAATGGTAGAGCCCCAGCGCCTTGACTGAACATAGGCCATAGCCAGGGAGTTGTTACAGCAGGACTTTGGCAAGACCCACTGCTGTGCTCGCTTTGGGTCTGACAACACAATCCTACTGGTGGTGGGTGCTTGTGTCACTTTATCCTCAGCTCCAGATGGCTCAGAACAGACAGAGAGAGAGAGACTCTGTTCATTTGGGAGAAAGGAAGGGAAGAGAAAAAACTCTTTGCCTGGTAATCCAAGGAAATTTTTTGGATCTTGTCAAAGATCATTAAGGTGCTACTTCTATGAGTCTGCAAGAACCACAGTGTTACCAGGCTTGGGGTGTCCCTTAAAGCAGCTATAGCTTAGATCAAAACTCCAAGTTTTTTTAATGATCTGAAGTCTTCCCAAAAAGAATGGGTACAAACAACCTCAGACTGAGAAGACTACAATAAATACCTTACTCTTCAGTGCCCAGAAAGAACATCGACTTTCATCAACACCATCCAGGAAAACATAGCCTCACCAATGAACAAAATAAGGTATCAGGGACCAATCCTGGAGAAACAGAGATATGTGCTCTTTCAGACAGAGAATTTAAAGTAGCTGTTTTGAGGAAACTCAAATTCAAGATAATACAGAAAAAGAATTAATAATTTTATCAGATAAATTGAAAATATTGAAATAAAACATCAAGCAGAAATTCTGGAGCAGAAAAATTCAACTGGCATGATGAAAAAGGGACTACAGTCTTTTAGTAGCAGAATTGATCAATCAGAAGAAACAATGAGCAAGCCTGAAGACAGGGTATTTGAAAACACAGTCAAAGGAGACAAAAGAAAAATAATAAAAACAATTGAGCATGCCCACAGGATCTAGAAAATAGCCTCAAAAGGGCAAAAATAATTATTGGCTTTAAAGAGGAGATAGAAAAGAGAAAGGGGTAGAAAGTTTATTCATAGGAATAACAACAGAGAACTTCTCAAAGCTAGAGAAAGATATCAATATCCAAGTACAAGAAAGTTACAGAGCACTAAGAAGATTTAACTCAAAGAAGACTCCCTCAATCAAGGTTAAAGAAAGGATCCTAAACACAGCAAGAGAAAAGAAGCAAATAACATACCATGGAGCTCCAATATTTCTGGCATCACACTTTTCAGTGGAAACCTTACTGTACAGGAGAGAGTGGTGTGACATATTTGAAGTGCTGAAAAAAATAAACTTTTACCCTGGAATAATATGTCTAGTGAAAATGCCCTTCAAACTTGAAGGGTGAAAAAAAAAAAGTTACCCAGACGAAAAAAAAGCTAAGGGATTTCATCAACATCAAACCTGTCCTATAAGAAAGGCTAAAGAGAGTACTTCAATCAGAAAGAAAAGGATGTTAATGAGCAATAAGAAATCATCTGAAGGTAAAAAGCTCACTGGTAATAGTAAGTACACAGAAAAACGCTGAATATCATAACACTGTAACTGTGGTATATAAATTACTTTTATTTTAAATAGACTAAATTATGAACCAATCAAAAATAATAACTACTACTTTTCAAGATCTAGTACAAAAAGATAGAAACAACAAAATTAAAAAGCAGGGAGATAAAGTTAAGGCATAGATTCTTTATTAGTTTTCTTTTTGCTTGTTTGTTTATGCAAACAATGTTAAGTTATTGTCAGCTTAAAGCAATGGGTTATAAAATAGAATTTGCAAGCCTTGTGGTAACCTCAAACCATAAACATAATGGATACACAAAAACTAGAAAGCAAGAAACTGAGCATATCACCAGAGAAAATCACCTTCACTAAAATGAAGAAGGAGGTGTATTATTCAATTTTCGCATTGCTGATAAAGACAAACCCAAGACTGGGAAGAAAAAGAGGATTAATGGACTTACAGTTCCACATGGCTGGGGAGGCCTCACAATCATGGCAGAAGGCAAGGAGGAGCAAGTCATGTCTTACATGGATGACAGCAAGCAAAGAGTGAATAAGTTTCTGCAGGGCAACTTTTCTTTTTAGAACTATCAGATCTTGTGAGACTTACTCATTATTGTGACAACAGCATGAGAAAGATCTGCCCCCATGATTCAATTACCTTTCACTGGGTCCCTCTCATGACATGTGAGAATTGTGGGAGTTACAATTCAAGATAAGATTTGGGTGGGGACACAGCCAAACCATGCCTGGAGGGAAAGAAGGAAGAGAAGACCACAAAACAACTGGAGAACAAATAACCAAATGACAAGAGTAAATTCTTACGTATTGATAATAACATTGAATGTAAATGGACTGAACTGTTCAATCAAAAGATATAGAGAGACTAAACGAATAAGAAACCAAGACTCAATGATCTATTGCCTACAAGAAACACACTTCACCTTTAAAGACATAAAGACTAAAAATAAAGGGATGGAAAAAGATACTCCATGCCAATGGAAGCCAAAAGAGAGCAGGAGTAGCTATATTTATATCAGACAAAATAGATTTAAAGATGCAAACTGTAACAAGAGACAAAGGTCACTATATAAAGATAAATAAGATATAACAATTTAAAGTATATATGCACCCTATCTATACTCCAGCACCCAGATATATAAATCAAATACTATTAGAGTTAAATAGAGAGGTCCCAACACAAAAATAGCTGGAGTCATCAACACCCTACTTTTAGCATTGAACAGATCTTTCAGACAGAAAATCAACATAGAAACATTGGACTTACTCTGCACTATAGACCAAATTGACCTAATAGATATTACAATCTAATGGCTGCAGAATATACAAACTTCTTCTCAGCACATGGATCATTTTCAAGAGAAGACTATATGTTAGGTCCCAAAACAAGCCTTAAAACTTTAAAAAAAATTGAAATTATATCAAGCATATTCTCTGATCACAAAAAAAAAAACAAAAATAGAAATCAGTAACAAGAATTAAGAAAAAATATATGTATATACACACACATATGGATATATACGTGCGTATAAACTACACACACACACACACACACACACACACACACACACACACACACGGAAATTAAACAATATACTCCTGAATGACCAGTGGGTCAATGAAGAAATTAAGAAGGAAATTGAAAAATTTCTGGAAACAAATGATAATGAAAATACAATATACCAAAACCTATGGGATATAGCACAAGCAATACTAAGAGGGAAGGTTTATAGCTACATATGCCTGTAACAAAAAAGAAAAAAAAATTCAAGTAAACAATCTAATGAAGCATCTTAAAGAACTAGAAGAACAAGAGCAAACCAAACTCAAAAATAGTAGAAAAAATAAAGAATAAAGATCAGAGCATAAATAAATAAAATTGAAATGAAGAAAATAACACAAAAGATCAATGAAACAAAAAGTTGTTTTTTTGAAAATTTAACAAAATTGACAAAACTTTAGTCAGATTAACTCAAAAAAAAAAAAAAAAAAAAAAGAGAGAGAGAAAGAGAGTGGGAAGACCCAAATAAATGAAATTGAAGTTGAAAGAGGACATATTACAACTGATACTGTAGAAATTCAAAGGATTATTAGTGGCTACTATGAGTAGTCAAATATTGTGAAAATCAGTATTGTTAAAATGTGCATACTACCCAAACATTTTGACTATTTGCCAATAAATTGGCAAATTTAGAAGAAATGGTCAAATACCTAGACACATGCAACTTACCAAGACAGAGCCATGAAAGAATCCAAAACCTGAACAGACCAATAACAAGTAAGGAGATTGAAGCCATAATAAAAAATCTTTCAGTGGGTCTCAGTCTCTGCTGCCAGCTGGCGTACAGTGTTCTCTCATCGCTCTGCTGCCCTACTCCTCCACCGGTCACAATGGAAGAAGAAATTGCTGCGCTCGTTATATACAATGGTTCCAGCATGTGCAAAGCTGGCTTTGCTGGGGACGACGCTCCCTGAGCCATGTTTCCCTCCACTGTCAGGTGCCCTCAGCACCAGGACGTGATGGTCGGCATGGGCCAGAAGGACTCCTACGTGGGCAGTGAGGCCCACAGCAGGCACAGCATCCTGACCCTGAGGTACCCTATCGAGTACGGCATCATCACCAACTGAGACGACATGGAGAAAATCTGGCACCACACCTTCTACAATAAGCTGTGTGTGGCCCTGGAGCAGCACCCCGTGCTGCTGGCCGAGGCCGCCCTGAACCCCAAGGCCAACAGAGAGAAGATGACTCAGATCATGTTTGAGCCCTTCACACCCTGGCCATGTATGTGGCTATCCAGGCCATGCTGTCCCTCTATGCCTCTGGGTGCACCACTGGCATTGTCATGGACTCTGGAGATGGGGTCACCCACAGGGTGCCCATCTTCAAGGGCTATGCCCTTCCCCACGCTATCCTGCATCTGGACCTGGCTGCCCGGGACCTGACTGACTACCTCATGAAGGTCCTCACTGAGTGTGGCTACAGCTTCATCACCACAGCCAAGTGGGAGATTGTGTGACATCAAGGAGAAGCTGTGCTACATTGCCCTGGACTTCAAGCAGGAGATGCCAAAGCCGCATCCTCCTCATCTCTGGAGGAGAGCTATGAGCTGTCCGATGGCCAGGTCATCACCATTGGTAATGAGCAGTTCCGGTGTCTGGAGGCACTGTTCCAGCCTTCCTTTCTCGGCATGGAATCTTGTGGCATCCACGAGACCACCTTCGACTCCATCATGAAGTGTGACATGTGCTGTCTGGTGGCACCACCATGTACCCAGGCATTGCCAACATGATGCAGAAGGAGATCACTGCCCTGGCACCCAGTACCATGAAGATCAAGATCATTGCACCCCCAGAGCATAAGTACTCCATGTGGATCAGTGGCTCCATCCTGGCCTTACTGTCCACCTTCCAGCAGATGTGGACTAGCAAGCAGGAGTACAATGAGTCTGGCCCCTCCATTGTTCACTGCAAATGCTTCTAAATGGACTGCGAGCAGATGCATAGCATTTGCTGCATGGGTTAATTCGGAAGTATAAATTGGCCCCTGGAAAATGCATACACCTCATGCTAGCCTCACAAAACTGGAATAAGCCTTCGAAAAGAAATTGCCCTTGAAGCTGGTATCTGATATCAGCACTGGATTGTAGAACTTGTTGCTGATTTTGACCTTGTATTCAAGTTAACTGTTCCTCTTGTTATTTGTTTAATACCCTGTACATATCTTTGATTTCAACCTTTAGTACATCTGGCTTGGTCACTTCATGGCTGAGGTAAGAATGTGCTTGTGGGAAGACAAGTCTGGCTTGGTGAGTCTGTGTGACCAGCAGTCTCCTATCTGTGCAGGGTATTACTGTGTCAGGGCTGAGTGTTCTGGCATTACTCTAGAGGCTGGCGAGGGCTGCCAGTCTGTCAGGGTTGGAAAGTCCAAGCCATAAGACCCAGTTTCCTTTCTTAGCTGATATTTTTCTGCCAGAGCACTGTGGGCTGTTACTTGCCTTGAGTTGGAAGCAGTTTGCATTACACCTGTAAATGTATTCATCCTTTTAATTTATGTAAGGTTTTTTTTGTACATAACTCTCGATTCTTTAAAGATGTGACAACAAATTTTGATTTTCTACTGTTATGTGAGAACATTAGGCCCCAGCAACATGTCATTGTGTAAGGAAAAATAAAAGTGCTGCCTTAAAAAAAAAAAAAAATCTTTCAGTAAAGCAAAGCCCAGGCCAGATGGCTTCATTGCTGCATTCTACCAAACATTTAAAAAAGCTAATACTAACCCTAAAAATAGAAAAGAAAATACTTTAAAAAAACCCACAAAAACTGCAGGCTAATATTGCTGATGAATAGTGATACAGAAATCCTCAATAAAATACTAGCAGACTGAATTCAACACTACATCAAAAAGATTATTCATCTTGACCAAGTGAAATTTGTCTTAGAGAGGCAAGGATAGTTTAATATATGTAAATCAATCAGGGTGATATATCAACAGAATGAAGGACAAAAAGCATATGTTCATTTCAATTGATGCCGAGAAAGCATTTGATAAAATTTAACATCTCTTCATGATAAAACCCCTAAAAAACTGGGTATAGAAGGAACATATCTCAACATAATAAAAAACCATGTATGACATACCCACAGCTAGTATCATATTGAATACACAAAACCTGAAAACCTTTCCTCTAAGATCTGGAATATGACAAGGATGCCCACTTTCACCACTGTTATTAAACATGTTACTGGAATTCCTAGCTAGAGCAATCAGACAAGAGAAAGAAATAAAGGGCACCCAAATTGAAAAGGAAGAAGTCAAATTATCCTTCTTTGCAGATGATATGATCTCATATTTGGAAAAACCTAAAGATTGCCAAAAATCGATTAAAACTCATAAACAAATTCAATAAAGTTGCAGGATACAAAATCAACATACATAAATTATAGCATTTTTATATGTCAACAATGAACAATCTGAAAAAGAAATTTAAAAAGTAATCTCATTTACAATAGCCACAAAAAAAATGCCTAGGAATTAACCAAAGTAGTAAAAGATCTCTATAATGAAAACTATAAAACTATAATGAAAGAAATTGAAGGGGACACCAGCAAATGAAAATATATTTCAAGTTCATGGATGGAAGAGTTAGTATTGTTAAAATGCGCACACTACCAAAGAAATCTACAGATTCAATGCATTCTGTATCAAAATACAAATGACGTTCTTCATGGGAAAAGAAAACACAATTCTAAAATTTATATGGAAATACAAAGGACCTAGAATAACAAAAACCTTCCTAAGGAAAAAGAACAAAACTGGAGGAATTACATTACCTGACTTCAAATTATACTACAGAGCTATAGTAACCAAAAGAGCATGGTACTGGCATAAAAACAGACACATAGATCAATAAAGCAGAGTAAAGAACCCAGAAACAAATCTACACACCTGCAGTGAATTCATTTTGACAAAGGTGCCAAGAATGTACACTGGGGAAAAGACAGTCTTTGCAATAAATAATGCTTGGAAAACTGGATATCCATATGCAGAAGAATGAAACTAGACCCCTATCTCTCACTATATACAAAACTAAAATCAAAATGTATTAAAAACTTAAATGTAATACTTGAAACTATCAAACTACTACAAGAAGACATTGAAGAAACTCTCTAGGACATCTGTCAGGCAAAGATCTCTTCAGTAATAACTGATTAGCAAAGGCAATGAAAGCAAAAATGGGCAAATGGAATCACATCAAGTTAAAAAGCTTCTGCACAGCAAAGGAAACAACAAAGTGAAGAGACAACCCACAGAATGGGAGAAAATATTTGCAAACTACTCATTTGACAAAGAATTAATAACCAGAATATATAAGAAGCTCAGACAACTCTATAGGAAAAAAGCTAATAATCTGATTTTAAAAATGGGAAAAAGATTTGAATAGCCATTTCTCAAAAGAAGACATACAAATGGCAAGCAGGCATATGAAAAAGTGATCAACATCATTGATCATCAGAGAAATGCAAAGTAAAACCGTAATGAGGTATCCTCTTACCCCAGTTAAAATGGCTTTTTTCCAAAAGCAGGCAATAATAAATGCTGATGAGAATGTGGAGGAAAGGGAACCCTCATTGTTGGTGGGAATGTAAATTAGTATAACCACTATGGAGAACAGTATGGGGGTTCCTCAAAAAACTAAAAAACTGCTACCATATGATCCAGTAATCCCACTGCTGGGTATATACTCCAAAGAAAGGAAATCAGTATATGAAAGAAATATCTGCACTCACGTTTGTTGCAGGACTCTTTGCAATAGCCAAAAATTGGAAACAACCTAAGTGTCCATCAACAGATGAGTGGATAAAGAAAATGTGGTACTTATATACAATGGAATACTATTCAGCCATAAAAAAGAATGACAATGTGTCATTTCCATCAACATGTATGGAACTGGAGGTCATCATGCTAGGTGAAATAAGCAGGTTCAGAAAGACAAACATGATATGTTCTCACTTTTTTGTGGGATCTAAAAATCAAAATAATTGAACTCATGAGAAAGAAAGTAGGATAGTTACCAGAGGCTGGGAAGGATAGTGGCAGGTTGGGGAAGGTGTGGATGGTTAATGAATACCAAAAAATAAATAAATAAGTAAGTCTTAGTATAAAATACTGGGGTATTTTATAGCACAACAAAGTGACTATAGTCAATAATTTAATTGTAGATTTAAAAAAGCTAAAATAGTATAATTGGACTGTTTGTAACACAAATGATGAATGCTTGAGGGGGAGGGATACCCTATTTTACATGATGACTGTGATGCATTGCATATTGAAACATCTCATGTACCCTATAAATATATACACCTATTATGTACCCACCACAATTAAAAGAAAGGACAAAATGCAAGTCCAATTATGTTATATCTTACTTAAAATATATTAAGAATTTCAATTCTTAAAATGAGGACAGCAGTCTTTATTATGGTCTCTAAGCTATAGTGTAGCCTAGCCCCTAACTTTATTTCTAGCCTCAATTCACACTATTTTCTGCCTCGTTCTCTGTACTTCAGCCACGCTGGCCTTTTTGCAACCCCAGTAATTCCACTGCTTCCTCTCCAAGTGGCCTTTGCATATTCTTTTCTCTTTGCTTAGACATTCTTTCCTTTCTCTTTTGCGTGGTTTACTTATCCTTCTGAACTTAGTTCAGTTATTTTTTTTCCTCAGGGAAGCCTTCTGTCATCATTCTGACAAACCCAAATTCCTCATTTGTAAGCTCTCAACACATTGGCTCTGGGTAATTTCACTGAGAAACAGTTAAGTGAGAGTTAATTCCATAAATGACCAATTTGCTGAAAGCAAATTTAGCAGTAGACAATTTGCAGAAAATCCATTCAACATCCTAGTCTAGGATGGTTCTTTGCAGCTGTCTTTCTGGCAGTGACAGAGATAAGCAGAAGCCTAAGTCTGAAGACAGTTATGGAGAAGCCCACCATTTGCTTACATTGGAGTACTGGATCACAGATCATGAGCGAAGGGCTTGGCATTTGAAATGTGAAAACATGGGATTAACATTCAACCAGACAGACAGTCAAATTCAGGGTTAAAGAGCTATCATGAAAGGATGCATTAAAACTTCTGTGAAATTAAGACTTCAAAAAAATCCCCCGTAATTTGGTAAATTGCTCATTTGGTGAAATGATGATTTGGCAGACTACTCTTTATTAAATTGGCTTTCTAGAAATTGGCAAAGTAGCGTTCAGTGATTTTTCCATTAGGAAATTCAGCAACTCAGCCATTTGGAAAACTGACTTTTGACAAGCTGGCGTTCTGAAAATTGATTTTTGGTAAGTTGGTTTTCTTATAGCATCATGTGCCTCACCTTGTAGCATTTAGCATTTTTTATAGTGAATGTTTTCCATTTGTTTTATGATTATTGGATTTGTGGTGCTCTCTTCCACTGTATGTAAGCATTGCAAGGGGATGGGAATATGTTTTTACTCACCATTATATTCTAAACTCCTAGCACAATGTCTGGCACATAGTAAGTACTCAGTAAATATTTGTAGAATCAATAATAACATAACAGTTTGCCACAGATCAAAATTGAATAACAATGGAATAGGGGCACACCTGAGTGGGACTTAATTACCAAACATCTAGAGGACTTGATGGTGAGGTAGTTGCCTATAGAAAAGTAGCCTATATAAATGCTGCATATATGTAAGATTGTTCCATTTAAACTTAAGTAATAATAGCAGACCTTTGCATATCACTTACTTTGTGCCAGTTATTAACTTATTTAATTTTTACACGAATACTATGGGGTAGATTACTATTCTTTTCCTCATTTTACAACTGAAGAAGCAGAGGCACAAATGGGATAAAAGGAATTTGCCCAAGGTCATGCAACTGCCTGAACACAAGCAGTTTGGCTCCAGCATTAACCAATATATGTGGCTCTCTTGATTAAAGAAAATTGCATTTGGTCAAAATTAGTCGGTGGGGAGTGAGCAGTTTATAACTTTTAATTTCTCTTAGGGTAAACATTTTGGAGGAGGAAATAGGTTATGAGGAAAGAAGAGAATCAGTATAGATACTAACATAATCTGAGAATGTAGTGTCATGGAGTATAATGATCAATGGCCTAAAAGATGGCTGGAGGTGATGGGAGAAGGAGGTTTTTTAAGATCTTTTCTATCTTCTTTGGCCTCCTGAAGAGCTATTCCCAAACAAAACAATATATGTTAAAAAAAAAAACAAAACGGTATTTGCTTTGCAAGCACAGCATCAATTCAAAACTTTCTCTACTTATGAAGCAGGATATCTCCCTGACCCCTTTGTGTGCACGGGTGCTAGAACTAGCCAGCTGCTTTGTTACCAGCAGGGTTGAACTCTACTCGCTTGGTCCCACTGCATTCCACACCTCACAGGAGGAGTGCAGGTGAGCAAGTGCAGGAGCTGGGTTGAGTGCTTTTGGGTGCCAGCAGGAGCAAAACTCCCTGTGGGCCTTACGGCCTTGGGGACAACCCTTGGGGGTTGTCTGTAACCCCTGAAGCCCCAGAAGTGTTACGGTAGCCTTTTAGCTTTTCTATCCATAGGTGGCTTAAGTGTTAACAGCTCAGTGGAGGGTCAGTGTTACAGCCTTTTACACCCGCACTCATGGCACCCAAGTTCTTGTCCAGTGTCCA